TAGTATTTTATGCCTTGACGTCCGATGATGAAACGATGAATGCCGCTGTAATAAAAACTTTTCTAGATTTAGCAATGTGCATGTACTTTTAATAAAATCTGTTAACGATTTCTGGGAATTTAATGACTCTGGCCATCTATGGGAAGTATCCTAATCTTATAATACGTTGCATAGCTAAGACGATTAACGAAGAGAAAATGGTTGCAGTATCATGATCGTCGCTTTTATCCCATAATTGAAGTCCTGTTATCCCTTAAGTGTAAATCAGCCTTTTGTTCTTCACCAAAGCCTTAAGATCATAAAAATAATCGCAGATTTTGGACAGACTAACAAACACATGCAGACATTTACAGAGAACACACAATACTTGCAACAATAACAAGCGTGCACAACATTTAAAGGGAAACATTACAAAAGAGAAAAGAAATAATGCAATGAAAATAAACGACAATAAATTAGATAATAAATACAAATATTAAAACAAAATGCAATGTAAAATTTTCTATATATTTCTTCTTTGAAATATTGGTGACAGACAAGTGGCTGCAGCATCTTGCCAACACCATTATGTGGAACCAGCTGCCCACCGATGCGTCTCCCACCAATTCGACTTAGCGAGAGCGTACCAATTCTTAAAAGGCCGGCAACGCATTTGCGATGACAATATGAGTGTCTATGGGTATCACCTAACGTCAGGTGAGCCTTCTGCCCGTTTGCACATTGCGTTGTTACATTAAAAAATCTACCAAAGTCAAAGTTAAGTTAAGTATTAATAAATATATAGTAATTGACTTTGTTCTTTATCAAACCTTGGGTAGACCGTTCGTTAACGTCACAAAGAAGTTTATTCGTATAATCTGCTAATTAAAATAACGAATTTTAAACGCGCTACCTTTTAATGACAACTTAATTTGACACTCGAATCCTAACGTATTTAAAAGTATATATTTAGATAAACTTCACAAATATGATAATTAGTACCTTTATGATACATGAGTAAGACAGATGTAGAGAGAAGGGCTTCAGAAGTGAGTGATATCAAGGAATTATGTACTTTATTTCACAGATAATTAGGCTTTCATCTGCCTGGTAGCGAATATGAACATAATTTAAATATATACGTACATTAGTCAACTCATTAAAAGTGTTTAATTCTAAAAGCTTCTTAAAGGCTTATGCCTGATTTTAGTTCTTTATTATTTACAATAATTATTATATTTTGTATTTAGACTACGTGTATTTATGCCTACATGTTACTAGCTGTTAAGTTTAAAACGCTAAACATATTTTGGTGGATTTTTGTAAATTATATAAATCTTCAGAAATAAAAAACGGTCAAAGAGTCCGAGTCGTACCCTAGGGATGGAAAGAAAAACAAGGGAAGGTAGGCGAGGTGTTGGGAGGACTACATAAGGTTAGGCGGTGTATAATGGTATATACTTAATAGCATATTATAATAGCGAAGGACAGATCAAAATGGCGATTTGGAGGCCATTGCCAAGAGACAAGATAATTAGTTCTAATTAATAATAAATTAATGTATAAAAGAATGTAAAAATATCCTAGACTAAGTACAGAAATCTAGGCATATTTTATCTTTTTTACACAATCTTCTACCATATTTACTATTTAACTTAGGACTGAGATCCTTTATTACTACTATATACGTATATATATGTATTTAGAAGTTACCCTTTGGGCCTCAACTGCTAAGGATTTTTATTTATTACTAGCGGCCCGCCCGGCTTCGCACAGGTGGACATTAATTTCTTAAATTTTGTTGTAGATATTGATATGTTCTTTAATATTGTGCAACATTTTTTTGTTCTAACATCAATAGTTTTCGCAGCGCATGCGATGTAAGATGTTTTATAAGCATTTTTTTACACCTTGGGTAGCATTATCGTAGTTTTAGTAAGGACCCTTATTTTTTGTTGCAATTAAAATAGCCTATCATATCAGTGATAATGTAGCATTCAAATGGTGAAAGAATTTTTAAAATCGGTCCAGTGTTTTTTAAACCAATTCGTTACAAACATCTTTATAATATTACTATAGAAGTATAGATGACTTAACCGTAAACTACATTATAACTACGCAGGCAACGCGCATATATATTATATACTTCTGTTACGTCTTATCAGCTAAAGCTATGTATAAAAGGTTAATGAAGGCAACGCGTACTTAATTCAATACAATTATTCGACTCAAAGAAATCATAATGTTCTCAGTATTTAAATGAGGCTCTATACACGCAAGAGCGTGTGAGCTTGCCACAAGCCTTATCCAATATTACTGGACGGTTCCTGGGTCATCAGGGTGCTTTAAATAATAGAAGATTTTAGTTTTACTCTATATTAACCACTCGCTTATATGCGCATGTAACGAAAGAATTTAATGTAACAGTCAAAGAGAGTGCCTACGTCTGGCTATGCTCTCGGTGCGTAACTCCGACGATTTAGGAAATCGTCACGCTTATAAAACTAAGAAAACCTGAGTGAGCAAAATGTACAGCCTTGGCTCGTACAATTACCCTATATATTCCGCCCGCAGTGACGGTGGATTTAGTGTAGATATATTAGCAAGATTTTTTGCAACAATTAAAAAATGCACGCCTTCCTCAGGAACCATATATACTTACTGTTTTTGTATACCGTATTAAACGTTCGGTAATCGCGTTGATACAGGGTTCATATGCGGCGCGGAAGATACTTTTTATAAGTAAGGAAGTTAGAAAATATCTTAACGTAACATATTAAGAAAGCCATACCCATCTCTGAAGAATAATAAGCCTCATGTATTTCTTGAAACATTCGTCCATGTTTACAAAAGATACACATAATTGTATACAAAAATGATTATCGTTTTTTTCAAGGACATCTTAAAACGCCTCCTCCAACTGGCTCTATCTTGCCCATTTTCCTACTAATCTTTTCCGCCAACTTCTTTTAGGTCGGTGGGCGACCTCTCTTTCTTTTCCCTGGTGTCCCTTTCCACCTTGTTACCCTGTTTGTCCATCTGCCATTGTTCATGGCATCGGTGTGGACCGCCCATTTTCAAGTAATTAACTTTAAAGCCCGCGCAAAATATTGTATGAAACTTTAACATTTGCGAGTTACTAGAGTCGCTGTATTAACGTTTAAACATAATTGCTATTAATTTATTTCGACAGTGAACAAACCTTTTACAATCAACTGTGATATATTGCTACAAAGTACTTAATTTACTACTGATAAAATATAACGAAATTAAGATTAAATTACATAATAAGTGTGAACCTTTGTGAACAACCAGTACAATATTTTAATCGGCAACTTGTGCCAATTACACGTACATTTTTTAAGGAAAATAATATAAAGTACCAGTTGTGGCCAGGAACGAGACTTTGGGTTTAGGTGGTCCGAAGTTGATAGGCATTGTGGACACCCTATGCCTAGGGGATAAAGGAAAAGCCATGTCAATGAGACCTAGTACTTGGAGTTCTATGTATTTTTGATAGTAGTCAATATTCTGTCTGATCGGAGATGCAGAATTTCTCAAACATATCAATATTGTATATCATTTACCGTTTAAATATATGATATTTAAGCTGGAGTTAATTGGACTTTGTGATTTGTTTATTCCGATCTTAATTATGTTATCTAGTTTAAACTGTTTTATCACTATACGGGCTAGTGATTGTTAGCAACGATTATTTAAATGGTACAAGTGTCCAAACAAGAATGTTTGAATTCAATTATTTTGTTAAAATGCAACGTGTAACTTATCACGTTCCCAACTCGGTTACGCTCGGTGTTCTTAGTAAAAATGCAACAATCTATTTGTTAATATTACCAGCGATTTCGTTATTTTGATATTGGGTAAGTGAGTCACTGTGGCAAGAGCGATTTGTGAATGTTTTTCATTTCTTATTACTTCGCAATAAGGTCTATATCGCCGTGTCATTGTATCAACGCTTGGTGAGCGCAGGATGCGCGTGTTCTATCACTCGCAAATGGCGTCCTTATCGATACGTTGCTTTAATCCTACTTCAATTTGAACGTTGATCGTTGGCTCAATATCACTCGTTATCATAATTTGCCCATAATTATAACTAATTGATAGGGTGAAATATCTTTTCTTTAATTATGTCTCATCATTAAAAATATTATTTTAATCGGTATTGTTTTGGTTACATTTCCAACTATGTTTGCATTGTTAACATGTTACTATTAACAATTACTACCTCAGATCTTGACCTCAGGTTTTGCATATGTTTAATTAATTACGTTGATTTATAGACAGTTAAGCCTTCAATGACTGATACAGGCCGTAGTTTTTTGGTCTAAGCCCAAACATAACTCTCACATCCTCACATTTTTCCTTCCCCGTACTAAATGTTAATTGCGCTCATCAAAATCCAGTGGTACACAGATGGACTTCCCTTTCCTACTATTCCTTCAGCTAACTTAACATCTGGGCTAACAACTTTTAATTAACTTATGAGATTAAAAACTTTATCTACGACTATATTTATTATGTACAAAACAAGTGAACAGCTCATAGGTCTAGACATATATTAAAATATGTATTATAAAACAAAGTTCCCACTGCGACATACGATCATGAATGGACGAAGTGATTCATAACGTGTACTCATTGAGTTAAAAATAACGGAAGGACTAGCGTAAAACCTGAAGTTTCTTCATTCATTTTCTGGTAAAAACCCATACTTGACTTGATTGATAGGAAAATAACCTATAGTACCGGCATAAAAATGTCTGCTTCATGCTCTTTTGAAAGATTATAGGTAATATAAACACAACCTAATACTTTAGTTCACATTGCCTAGAGATTATCACAGAAACTAAATGTGTTTTTGCTATAAACAAATATCGTATTACAATCTTTCATCTGTAACAATTTTGGGGTTTTGCAAACAAATTCTGATATTTAATTATTCTCTTCCAGCCACTGATGCGACAGTGAGGCAGCCTGAAACAGAAGCCAAAAGAGTGAGGATGTTTGGCGGCAGCGGTGGCGGCGGTGGAGGATCCTATGGTGGTGACTGCGCGGAGGGCTATGGGCTGGGCTACAACGGACGTCTGCAACACTACGCTGCACACTTCGCGCCCCACCAGACCTGGCACCATCATGCGGCCCATCATGACACATACGGTACGATATTCATGTAAAGAAGTAGGTTTATGTGCACTTTAAAACTCTTGGATTGTTCTGAAAAATACACTTTCACTCATTCAACCCGTGATTATATTTGCTGTAAATCAAGTACGTCAAGTCAGTAGAAGTATATTGTTAATCGTGGTTTAATTCTCTATAAGTATAGAGTATATCTATATTTTAGGAGATTAGGGTTTGTCCTGCGAAATTCGGTTGGTCTGACGGACACCGCCACTAGGGTGCTATATTCATCATTAGTAAGGCCAATTCTCGAAACTAGCTGCGTCATATGGTCCCCTTATGAAAGGTATTATGGGGATATGATTGAACGAGTGCAAAAGAAGTTCCTGAGAAATCTGTATAAAAGAAGATACAATTTCTTTCCTTACCTCTACCCTACTAAGTTCTTGATGGGGGTGTTAGGGTATAATTCATTAGAGCTTCGTAGGGATTTTTCGGTGGTCAGGTTTGGTTTGAGTGGGACTTGCTGGGAGAGATCATGAGGCTATACGTTCCGGACAAATATTGCCGCTGCCGGAAACATAACCTTTTCGCTATGCGTTCGGCTCGCGCTATCCAGCGACAACAAGCGCCCATTCCCCGGTTACTCTCACTGCTTAATGGGTTTCTCGACTCTTCACCGGAGAGCGACCTGTTTGGGAAGCTTATGGGGGTGGTATACTGTGGTTTCAGAGTGTACCTGGAGGGAATAAGAGGGTAATGCTATCCTGTACTGTAAATTATGTAAATCTTGATTGTATTTTTAGTCTAAGTTTGGCCATTGAGCTGTTGATAAATAAATAAATAAATATAAAAGAATGACTATGTTCGACATTACGAAGGACAGTCATGATAACCACAGCTGATTTAATGACCTAATTCGTGCCTTCGTGGAAATACGACTTTTGAACCTAGAACCTAGGAAATGTATTATGAATGTAAGATATATGGAAAGAGCACCCTTACTAAATGCTTATTGGACTGTATTCGAAATACATGTTATGTTTGGTTGGTGACGTCGAATGGGTACCGTTTGCGCAAATCTAACCGCACGTTGAATCAACGTTGGTATCGACACGGTCATTCCGAGAATGATAAACTATTTTCCCTTCAGGATAAACACTTGTTATTGCACGATCTGTTATGATGAACAGCGAGGATAAGTGATGGGTGCCACAAGCTGTTCGCTGTAGCGGGCAAAAGCATAGATAACATTTTCCTCTTGTCTCTAAAATATTGTAATCATATAAATAGTTTTAGCCTAATAGTTCAATGTGTCTCAAGTCAGTTTTTCCATCATCGAACGAGGAATACTGCATAATTCCATGGTCTACATCTCGGTACCTAATATTCCACAACACAACGCTTTTTGAGGCACTTTCTGTCGCACAACCTATTTGTGAAACCAGCTCCTAGTAAAGCCCCAGAAAAATATCTAATCTAAAAAGCATTTAAGAAAAGAGAGTACCCTCAAACATGAGATGGGACATTCACTAGTCCCCGGCGTTGTAAGTGTCCATGGGCGGCGGTTATTACTTTTATTTATGCCTGCTTAATGCCTGTCCTATAAAAAAGACGTAAATTCCAACCCGTAATGTTCGTGAAAAAGATTGACGTGACAGCCGTGGCATAAACAATTTTTTTTTTTTATACATGTGTCTTCACTTAGACATCATGGAACCTTACGATCTAGCCTAACTTAAGACTAATAAGTAACTTAAGTCTAACCTAATTTACTAAAAAAGATTTTTAACATAAGAAAGTGTCCAATAACACTACTTACAGTCTCTATTAAAGAAGACTCTGTTCTTGTGTTCTATTTGCATAGACAAATGACCCATAAAGAATATCTATCTTCCAAAGATCTAAATAAAATCTGGATTACGTTATTGATATTATAAAACGATTTCTTTCACCGTTAAAATCAAATATAGATAGTAGAAAATTATATAACACATGATTAGGTAATAATTAGACAATAATGCTTTGTTTTCGTATAAAATATGCGTACCCGAACGCAGCGTTGTTGTTGATACAATGATATTAACGTCCATTTTGTTAATACGGCAACGCTCATTACTGACCCATATACAAAGTAAAAACGTAGGCAATATTGGCTTACTAAAGGACTATATAGACATCAAAACCCAATGACATTATGAATTTATGAGTCTATGGCTTGACCCGTACTGAAGCTTAGTGTGTGTGAATCAGTTTTGATAAGGCTAGCAGCCCGCGTCCCGGTCAGTCCGCGCTTTGACCTTTCGCTGTAGGGTCGCCATTTGTGTCTAGTGCTGTGTTGCGATTCCTTATCTCTTGAGCTACTTAGCAACGTGAATATGGAGTTACCTTTGGCGGAACGGTTGTTCCAGAATTTAGTTCATCTCGCAGGTTTGTTCATTAAATTTGCAAGTGGTGTATATCTTTTATATTTAATTTGCATACCAACGAAATTAGTCCTATGTGATATATAAGGATAACATCTGTGATATGTTACTTTCAGCATTTTTTTTATTGTGTAAAGCTATTTATATATTGTAATAGATTTTAAGTATTATCTTACCAAGATTTATTATTTTCTATCTGAAAGGAAAGGGCAAGTGCCACGGTTTTTCTTTTTAATGAAACTCTAAACATGAAACGTTAGTCAATAGACGTTTCTAAATTCTAGCATTGAGCTTTTATGAACCCCTACTTTAGACTATTTTAATTGACTTATAAGCTTTGAGAATTTATATGAATTTATATGTTAAACATATGTTTAGGTGGAGGCAGTGTTAGTGGTGTTGGCAGCGTCGGCGCTGTAGGCGGCGTGGGCAGTGTGGGCGGTGGACTATATGGACAAAACATGGTGATGGGCGGTTGGTGTGCGCCCTACGACGCGCTTCAGAGACCACCGGCTTACGGTAACAATCTGCACTTATATATTTACGGAACAACATGGAATTTTTCCATGTAATAATATATTTTTAAGTACCTATCTACAATCTACATATTTATTCACTTAGTAGCAATAACTTACCCGTTATAAAAAAATATGTTAAACATTTTTAGAATATGATGATTTTTAATTAAAACAGATGAGTGCCAATATGATCAAAACAAGAATATAATTATGTTTTTATTCATAAAATATATTAATAGAAGTGAATAAAACTATAAAATTGTGAATTCCATGTTTCGAATTAATATGTTATTTATTATCGAGTGCACTCTACGTTATATTTTATCGAGACGAAACAAAATCCCATAAAATTTAATATGATACGTTTTATGATTGGGAGTGGTCGGGCGAGGCCTATCTCGTATGGAGATGAGATCTTGGAGACAATCGTAAAACACACAATCTCAGTTTTTCACTGTTTCTTAGGTATAGGAATAGGAATCGAAGAATACAAATATCGAATCTTTGATTTTAAATTCAATATTCAATAAATCAAAAACTGAAAAGTGATTGTTGATATTCAATCGATTGGAGTTTATATAAAAACCAGAAACAGGAGATTTATAATACGATGTGTATATTTTTTAATGTTTGGCAAAATAATACATTTTTTATTGTAACTTTATTAATAATTAAGCCTCATAAAAACAATAAGATTTACAAGAGACACATACCTAGTTTTATACTAAAAACTATTTTTTTCTCTCTTAAAAAGCTTGAGCATTTTTCTGCCATTCTTCCCCATCAACTACTTTAAGCTTATGAGCCCTTGCAAGAGGTCAACCTCTCTTTCTTTTCCCTGTTGCGTCTTTCCACATTGTTTCTTATCCTTTAGTTATTCTAACTTTAATCAAGCTAGTGATTGTCTCAGAGACAAAAAACATCTGATTTAATTAAAACAGCGTCAATAAACTATTTTTGATTGATTCAAATTTGATGATAGATTTTAAGGAACAATTACTACAAAACCTTGTCTTGAAAGTTAGCAATAAATACATCATTTACATTCAAAAACTTGATACACAAATCCTAAATGTGTATAAAATTATTGTCCAACACTTGTCTTGCGTTTATTATTTGTGACTCAGATGTTATTTGGGCTATGGTTCGATTCTCATTGTTTTATTGCTGACGTCAGGTTGATTAATTTACGACGCATAAAATGAGGCTCTGTGGTTTTGTAGTGGTGATACATCGCTTCATCCATAGATAATTGAAAAAAAAAATTCAAATTAAGAATCTTAGCTTATGCATATCAAGCCAAGTATAAGGCGCGTTTTTGTGTGATAATAACTAGGTAAAGTGTATATTAGGCTACAATCGTAATCACATAAATTATAGGTACACACAGAACAACGGAAAATCGAATTATATCATAAATATAATATATAGTTCTAGTGAATTAATACTGAGATAGTGTGCTGTATCTCACAGAGATAAGCCCGGACTACCTAAGTAGTTTAGTCGCATATTGTTATTGTTTCTACTTCTACGAATAGATAGGCAAACTTGTAAGTAACGGTGCTGCGTCTGCGCAACCCGCCTCGCGCCGACATCGATACCTCTTTGTTCCGAGATATCGCCTCATTAAGAAGCACTTGTTTTTGTAAGCAATCATGGTTTTAGCGTGTCTAATGTAAACCACTTATATAGGTGTTGTATACTGACTTCCTGACTTGCACTTTCATACATGAAGGTGTTGCCTAAACGTTTAAGAATGTTCTTAGCTAGGCCATAGTTGGCAATAAGCTGTAGGTAGTAGGCAAGCAAAATGCTTAGGTAGTGTGTGCGACAGATGGTGCGGAGGCGTACGAGGAGGGCCGCGAGTGTGTCAACTGCGGCGCCAACAACACACCACTGTGGAGACGCGACGCCACCGGACATTACTTGTGCAACGCCTGCGGTCTCTACCACAAGATCAACGGCGTCAACCGGCCGCTGGTGAAGCCGAGCAAGCGGCTGGTGAGTGCCTATTATAATGCCCGCTCTCTGTGTAGGTGCGGACGCGGAGCTGCTCACGCGCTTCTATAAGGACGGCTCCGTGCAGAGGTGGATGAGTGAGGGCATGGCGCGGGGCATGAAGAAGGTGAGTCGGTGGCGTGTAGACTAGTCGCCTCGCATGCCGCGACCACCCACTCCCCTGTTCCCTGCTGCCGGCCTACTAGTGTACACGCTGCCGCTCCCCTCCCGCCCCTTCCCGGCACTCTGCCTGTCCAGCGCGATGACCATAACACTCCGGGCTGCTCCAATCAATATTACAGTAAAGCCGCACGCTATGAAGCCATGAAAGTGTTATTGTCATGCGCTGGTTCCGCTAGTGGTGGTAGTTTTCGACGGTGAAGAAAATTATTTGTATTGCACTTAACCAAGAAGGGAACAAAATAGTCAGCGTTATTAAAATATCTGCTTATTAACATTTATTTATAAAATATAAATGTACAAAAAAATAAAATATTAATTTACAAATAATTTTCTAATCGCCGTTGTAATGAGATTATGTTTAAGTTATAGCTTCTAATTACTTTATAGACATCATTGCTCAATTATTTCTTGAGGAAACTGAACGTAGTAAATCATACATATAATATATTAAAGGAATTAGTTTAATTAAATACACCAGTTTCCAATAGAAAATGTACATTTTAGAATTGCATGAGTCCCAATACCCACCAATCCTCCTCTCCTTGGTGATAGTTCCCACCCTGGCACAATAATATACTGAATAACTATCCCATTTCATTGCGCATGCCACAGTGTAAGTACGAGTAAATCATTTGATACGATAAGTAGAGATAATGTGTGCGTGTGTGTCAGTCACACAAAGGCCGAGAGGAGGCGCGGTGACGTCAGGTGGAGTCCCGCCCTCCTCTGGCATTGGACACTGCGGCGACTATTAATAAATATCGTATAGGTACAGTACCCCGCGGAGATGCCATTCACCCGAAGGGTTAACAAAACAACCGGTAGGCACCCTAGATCAACCTTTAATTGACGGTAACAAATACAACACAAAATACTTGACTTTGACATAACACACACAACAGAGTACCCAGTCTGTCTCTTTTTAAAACAGCGTTAACATAATTTGACAGAAAGAGACAAAAAAGTAGTTTTTATAAATCTTATCTTTACAGCAATAATAATAAGATTGCAATCTAATGGATCAGTAGTGAAATTAAGATTCTGGCGTCAGTACAGGGGGCAAACGAGCTTACCTGATGTTAAGTAATAAGGCTCGCAAGTGCGTAGCCGGTCTTTTATGAAATGGTACCTACGCTCTTTTCTTAAAAGACCTTAAGTCGAATTGTTTCGGAAATGAGTACCTCAGTGGGAGTTCGGAAATATAAAACTGCTTTAAAACGCTCAGTTGTGGAACGATAGACGGTGATACGGATGGAAATTCGCATTCTGCGTCGTCCCACGTCCGATGATGAAATGCAGCTGTAGATAATATGAATCCGGACAATTCCATGAATAGATAAATAATTAGGGGAAAATATAGGCAACAAAATCGAGCTATATATATCGTTATAATAAACATATTCAATAGGTTTGCACGAAACGCGGGGCTCTAAATGGTTCTAGTCAAAGAATATTTAATAAATCCTATAATGTTCTAATGGTTCTAGTGGTAAATACCACTTTTTCCTTCAAATCCTTTTTATCTATCTGTTCCGCGTTTATTCGATATTAGCGTGACTTTATACAGTCCATAGCCTTCCTCGGTTAACTTTTCAATTCAAAGCAATAGTTCCTGTGATCAGGATTTAGGTTAATGGCCCGGGCTTACAGCACAAGAGATTCCGAAAAAAATCTTATAAAATTCCGACAAGGAAATAACTTTTCCTTTAATATTTTTTTCCTATATCGTTAACTAAAATGTAATTTAAGATAATTCTTATTTCCGTTCAATACAAAATATATGATGTAGGTACTTGAATTTCCAAAAAAAAAATTTAATTTGAGACTCCACTTCCTTGTTGGCCCAAAAGTTTAGTTTTAATTCCTGCCTGTGATTAGCGCGAAACTAATAATTCTCTATAATTTATTCGTGCTTAGAACCTAAACGATATGTATTGCGTTGGAGTAGGTAATTACAAAATTAGGCTATCGATTTTTAAACAACTGTTGTGTTATCACAAGGCTAAACTTGTTATGAAAAGAGGTGGTAATGGGCTTAATGCGAATTTTATCTTATATTTCCGACGTCGAAAATGGTATTTTCATACCAAAATTTTCCGTTTTGATAATGGGGTCGTTTTAATAATGTTAATAAAGTGTGTCAATAATGCAAATGCAAGATTAAATTATTTTATTTAAAAAACGGATAATTTTTTTGGAAGATACTCATTAAAATTCATATTATATATACTATAGTTGTTCTGCATTTTTACATTTTTATTATTAAATATGTGTAAGTATTTAATAAAATATATTTAATCTTAATATATGTATATAATTCACGTGTCACGTTGTTTGTCCGCTATGGACTCCTAAACTACCGAACCGATTTCAATCAAATTTGCACACCGTGTGTAGTTTGATCCAACTAAAAAGATAGGATAGTTTACATCTCAATTTATACCCGCAATATTATTTTATTGCAAAATATTTGTTTATTATTTGATAGTCACAATTCTAACAGATGGCGCTGTGTTGAAAGTACCAACGTTTCACATAAGCTACTTGATATTATATGGTTGTGACAAAATTGATTTAATGCGAGTCTCCACACTAGGGAGCTCTTCGGTACTTGTTGTAAGCGTGCGTTGTGTAAGTTTTTGGAACCTCAGAGTCATGCCAAAATATGTATACGTAAATAATAAAAACTAAATATTACGTAGGTATTACATGGTATACATGTAAACACATCAAAAATTGGCAAAAACAATTGATTAAATCGCAATCCACATTACAACATGTTATTTTTAACAACACGAAAAATGACTCTGGTTATACCACAACGGTAATATTATTAGAAAATTGTCCTTGATATCCTAAATCCTAATATCCTCCGTTTACATTTTCAATAACATCTGTAGCACCTAGCGCCATCTAGTACCAAAGCATGCAATCGTTGAAACTTGAATTACACACTTTATCTCTGCTTCTTATTGAATATTAATTCTGTCAACTGTACTAATCGTAAGTTCTCATCCCCAGTCTGCTGCGCGACGCCACGGGCAGTGCTGTACCAACTGCGGGTCTCGCAATACGACATTGTGGCGGCGAAACAATGATGGTGAACCAGTCTGCAACGCTTGCGGCCTTTACTATAAGCTGCATGGAATCAATCGGTGAGTCTTTATAGTTTATTCATTGTAAGCTACGGGATATTACACTTAAGGATAGGCAACGCATTTCATAATCTGAAACCGTAAATAAAAAGTTCAAAATTCCACTACAATAGTATTTTAAAGACTTTGCTTAAAGTTAAATTACAGTATTTTTTTTAATGAATACAACGTTAACAATTACAGACCACTGGCTATGAGGAAAGACGGTATTCAGACGCGAAAGAGGAAGCCGAAAAAATCAGCGAGTGGAACGAAACCTGCTCACGAGGCACCCAAAAAGGACGGGCAGGGTTCACCAGGCATTGACGGTATTTATTTGTTTTTTTACTTAAAATTACAACAAATACACTGATTTTGAGATTTTCGTGCAGTATGATTAAAAGGTAACTTTTAATAAGGTAATTTAATGCTCTATATATTTCGATATTTTGAGGAACGGAATATATAAGATTCAATTGTAGTTACTACAGTTCTTATTAAATATAATGTTGTTAAAATCTAATTATAATTAAATTTCATTGCAGACAGTAAATCAAGTATATCAGAAGTACCGCTGCCGCTGACGGCCTCACTGTCCCCACATACGCACGGGCACACAAGCAAGCAGGCAAACGGCGAGCAGAGCGGGCAAAGCGGGCAAGGTGTACAGGGTGTTCAGGGCGGGCAATACGGGCTGGCTAGCACAGCGTTCTTGTCTTCACCGTCCTTGTTCAACATCAAAAGCGAGCCGGCTGCGGCATATGACCCACCAGGTTATCCGCCCACCGGCAACCCACCACACCACTACCACTCCCACCACCATTATTTACACGCGCTGCAGGTACTTTTACTTTAAACTTTTGTATATATGTAGGTATATATCGAATTACATAAGATGCCCATTAAAATCTAATACCCTACCGCCCTTCACGACGGAGTAACAGGCGAATGTCTGAAGTGCGTTTGTTTTACAGTACAGATTTAATAAATTTATCTAAATTAATCCGTTGCATAGATTAAACGATCTAAGTTTTCCAAGAGAGAAAGCCTTCTTTATTTTTAATAAGTATTTTAATTCTATAAAGAAATTTTACGTTTTTGTATTTTAACGAACTAAGTACATTCTTAAATTAATTTTTAACTGTTACAGTACGGCTTGTCGAACGGTGAAGAGGAGGAAGGCAGTGGATTTCTTCATCAGCGCAATGTCACCGCACACGCCAAACTTATGGCCTCCACGTAGCCACGCGTATATAGACAACAGACGTCCATCAACACAGATAAAGATATCCTTTTCTGATGAACGGACGGAGAAATAGAATACACAATTATGTTTTATCTCCTATGTACATTGTTATATTCGAGAACGGAGTGGGCAACACTATTGTAAATAAATATCCGTTCTTTATGTACAAAACGTAAGCTGTAGCTTTTGACTTTTGTACTAAAATTCTAGACTTAATATGTAAGTAGTTCATTTGAGTAGGAAGGTCCTAAGTCTGAGGGTAAACACGACGTCACAAATGGTTCACTTCATCCTTTGAAGATTTGATCATTGATTTACAAAATACACACAGGACACAGAGCACATTATGATCACCCTAATGCCGAGAAATAAGTTCGCCAGTATTTAGTTGAAGTCGTTTTTAAGATATGATATTTGGCCATATCTGGCATGTGCTGACATTTGACATTTCGAGGCACCCTGCGATAAGCTTTTAAAACTAGATACAGATTAAATATTTATGCGAGCTGTTATGAATTCAGAGACATCTGTGTACGTAAGTAAACAAGTGCTTGTAAATGAATAAAATAGCTAATCTCTAAAAGGAACTGTATGATATTATGTGACTATTTCGACTGATAATTGTCGAAGTTTTTTATTTGTAAATTTAATAAGAATCTTAAGTAGCATGCTGATATTTTAAGTATTTCTTGTATGTATAATGATTATGATGTTCAATAATTATAAAAGGAGGTTTTCAGAATGTTTTTAAAGTTCCTTTAACCTTTTGTAACAATAAGTTTAAAACCTAAATAACGCCATCTAAAAAATAAAAATACTAGAATAACGCCATCGACGTAATTTAGACTGCAAACAACAGAGGGCGCCTATATAAATAAGAGTTAGGTTTTTTATTGTTACAAGATCACTAGTCTTAGTTTTGAATGTGAAATCGTTTAACTTACTAATGTTACAGTAAGTATGTATGAATTATTTATTTCATGTAACAACGTGATTGGACAATACAAGCCGTCCTAAAAATCTTCCAATTCTTAGTGGCACAATTTAAGATTAGTCATATTTATAGTTAAACAGTGGCATTTATAAGCTGTATATAGCAGACAAGATTGTTTTATTTTACTTATTTTAAGAATCGATATCTGTTGGTGACTGATAATATCCAAAAGATAAACCTTAAGTTCAGGGGGTCACCTTGCTATACAAGCAAGATATTGCAAGCATTGTAAAATATACCTTAATAAAAGGCAAAAGGACACTATTCAAGCAACGACGCCATCTTGTTTCAAATGTAATAATAGTAATTATCAGTCACATAACAGAGTGGCTACAATGAAGCATGGCGGTGGAGATCTCTTATAAGTCAATTGTACAATGTTTGAATAAAGTGTACAAAATTATATTAATTTGTTTTAATAACGGTATTTTATAAAAAACGGATGTGTACTTATTTATGTACACGCGTTAGAAGTTATTCTTCTTTGGCGTAACAAGATAACAATACTTTAAAAAAAATTATCTTACGCCTTATTCTACGTTTGTATAAAAAACGACACTAACAATTGAAAAACTGAAATTTTGACTAAAGCTAACTTCAGGGTGTCGGTTTTTTGTGACGATGTGCGCGCGAATTGTAAAAATTTACTCTCCACCTTTTTTATTCCTTACGCGCCAAAAGAAGTATAACTTCAATAATAATCCAGATCAAACAACCCTATATCTTGGCCTTGGATTGCATCCGATTCTTTGATCATTTTTATTTCATAGACAAGTAGGTGATCAGCAGTCTGTCTGACATAGGCAGGGGTCAGACTATCACGATACCTGTCTCAATATATATTGAATCAACTGGTCGAACTACACTTTCAATATCGTCAGTGGTCAGAAGATAATTCTCTGGAGACGTGTTTCGTAATAACAGATGGTATAAGTAATATACTAGGTATAATACGGCCTGTATTGCCATAATACAGACCAAACTTTAACTTACTTTAATGCTATATTAAGGTAAGTTCATTAAACCAAATTTATGTAATCAGTTATGTATCTACTTAAATTTTTTAATAAGCATAAACACCAAAATACTTTACATAGGTTTATTTCGTAAAAACAGTGATACAACATCTTACTCTGAGAGACACACCAACACAGTCAACAAATATTGACACAAAAAATCTAGATTTTATGTCAATATCCTCAATATTATTTCTGCTGCGAGTTATGTAACCCAACTTTAGTTAAGTTACATATAAATATTTTAGTTAATAATAACAAGTAGAAACAACAGTTTTTACCATGCTTATAAATTGTATTTTAACATTCTCGTTTCGGATAATGTCCAATAACATGCGTGTCATTTAGATTTATGAACCCTTATATAAGCCAAGTTTGTTTTTGTCTCATATTTTAAACCATTAAAGTCAGTTGCTACCCAGCTTCAAACAAAGAGTTTTATTTAAAAATCAATAAATATTGATAGTTTTCCTTCACCGTACGAACGAGTGTATAGCAGTGAGTGACAGAAGACATTCATGTTCAAAAAACTAAACTATTCTTGATACGTTGTTTCTTTTCTCTTGTTTCATAATGTATGGTGTAGGGGACTCAATGTATTATGTCAGCTTCCCTAGCAGCCGCATGGAGGGCGTCATCATCAAGGCGGTAGTAACGCCAGGTCTCGGCTGAAGTCAGGTCCCTTGCACCACGTGACTCGTAAAACGACCGAGCATCGTTCCACCCTAACACGTGGAACTCCAGACGGGAACAACCAGATGAAGACGCTACCTGAAATTGTTACATTCATGAAATTCATAAGGTTGAGAAGCTGGTCTCGACGTTTCGACCTCCGTCATTTATTTACTCAAAATTTATTAAGCTCAATTTAATATTCATCCGCAAATCCAAATATATTTATGAATCGCCTATAAACCACTAAATTATATACATATTAAGTTTAGCTTTAATTAAGACAACAAACAGAAACCGGGAGTGACTAATGTACCTAATAGTCTATAATTTGTGCCATAGACGCTACGTTTAGATCTTGTGTACAAACATTTAAAAATTATTCATTGTATAGTCTATTATACGTAATACACACTTGCTGTCTTATTTTTGAAGTGGAACTTCTTTAGGCGCATGAGAGTAAATTTTTACGAATGAAACGCAATAATAATAATATTAGCGTCACGAAGATGTGCAGCGTTTTTGTCGAAGAAAATGGTGGAAGCGATTATGACCGATTTTCGGCAAATTTTCGGCACCTCCAGGGGTTAGTTTCGTAAGCTGATTATAAATACAATTACACTTAAGTATGTTGTTGATGTCTAAATATGACAATATTTCTTCGTTTAGAGAGTAGCTGTTGCGTTATAAAGAGTTTACACTGTAATTATTTACAATTATTACATATTGTGTACTTTTTACGCACGCACTTTTTTGTTCTAAGATTTTGTGGTTGGTACATACAACAATTACAATTTAACCGGTCGGCGATTTACCGGAAGGTACCAACTGTCGTAGCGTGTCTGTGGGCGGCAGTCGACAAGAACCTTCAAAAAACAATGTATAGAAATTCAAGTAGCTGACCCTACCTTAGCGACTGCGTTGAAGAGTTTCTTGCCGACGCCCTGTTTCCTACATCGCTCTTTTATGAAGATGTCCCGTAGCATCAAGGCACGACCCTGCCAAGTCGAGTACGACGAAAAGTACAGAGCGTATCCCACCAATTCCTTGTTACGATCATTTATTTGTTCAGCCACAAGACAGCGGAATAAGGGTGGCTCAGTTTCGAAGCCATCACGACGGAGATCTGGGAGTTGCAACATTTATGTCAAAATTGCAATGCACTTAGCGTCATCGGCGTAACGTAGCTACGGGGCTTGGGAAAAAATCACTTCTTGACAGTTGTCACCCACTGACGCCAAACGAATTTATATGAAAGTAGCCAGGTGACAAAGCGTGAGCTTATATCTTTCCATTCCAGTCAAGCCAATAGTATAATTTCCAACAATAAACAGTACACATTATGTTAATATTACTACTCCATACTTACTTCAAAATTATTGTTGAGGGAGTTATGTAACCTAAGATTAGTTACATATATCTAATATATAAAATTCTCGTGTCACACAGGAGGAGGAGTATGTTCGTTCCCATACTCCTCCTCCTCGGCTCGACCGATTCTTATGAATTTTTTTATGCATATTCAGTAAGTCTGAGAATCGGCTACTATCTATCTTTCAAACCCCTAAGTGATAAGGGGTGTCACAATTTTTTTTTTAATGTTTAGATTAAAAAAATTGTTTTTATTTTTTATGATACAGTATACAAAAATACATACAAGTCCTAATTTTCACCTCTATACGGTTAAACCCTATTTTTTATTTGTTACTTAAAATCTTATGACTTGAACTCTGAGGTTTATATGGAGAAAAAATCACTGGTAGGTAGGCTAAGTAAAATCACATTAAGGAGAAACGAAGTTCGCGGGGACTGCTAGTGTACTTATATAATTTAGTTAATAATTAGAAGCGCAAACCAAATGTTAGCAATTATCGCACAATTGAAACCAAAATGAGCCCTTTAGTTTTTCCCACACTCATAAATTGTACTAGTTATAACATTTTCGTTTCCGATAATGTCCTATAGGTCGACTACACATATATTCTTTATAGGTAACATAAGTGTCACTTAGATTTAAGAACCCTACAATAAAGTTAGTTTCTTTATTATTCTAGTTTTCTTTACTTAAGATGTCATGTGGAACATGGTGTAATGGTTGCAGCTCCTGCGATTCTGTAACTCGCTTCACACACTCGCAGCGCTGATTTTTGCTGTCAAATCGTTCGTTTCGGTGTCATGTTACAATTTGGTATTCTGATAAACAATAACCGCGACAAAAGCGCCGCTCAAATGAGATTGTTCACATTTGGAACTAAAATTTGGCACTGCTACACTTACGCTCCAAAATTGTTGGTATTTGGTATTCTGATACATACCATTTGACATCTCATCTCACTTAAATGTACATTTTGATTATTTTAGCATTAAAAATATCATTTTTATCCTAGAACCAATTTTTCGATGCAGTCTTGATCATGTCTCGTCTCCAGCAGAGATAAGTCGAACAGAAAACGATAAATAAGTTAAGATAGGTAAATTTTGTAATATATTTGTATTTTTCTACTATACTAAAATTAAAAATCTCAATAATTTCAGAGATCCCCAAATGTTCAAAATTCCTGAAAGAAAAATACATTGTGCCTTTGAAGAAGAAGAATATTACATTTGTATCATACGACAAGGCCCCTGGATATAAAAAGACACAATAGTGCAGACATTTTCAAATTATTGAATTTGGACTACTTATCCTTCAATTTATAATAAATGATAACACAGTACAATTTCGGTTCCTATATTTTTATAAAATATATTGATATAACATTAAGGTTTTGGATAAAAACATTATTCTGCTTTACACAAGTATGAAATACCATCATTACATACATGATGGTTTAAGTACTTATTAAGCTTTTTTAAATTTATCGTTCATAACTATTACTTTTTACAAACTAATTAGGAAATATATTTGTCTACAAAATAAAGTAGATGTTATTGATTAGCTCTATGTGAGGCTGGGTTTGAATTAGTTTTTATTATACTTAAGTTTGTTTTACTGAAAGTTATTTTGTAGTGTGTTAAAAGTTTACTATAATCATTAAATTAAATGTGTAAGTTATTATATTGTTCTTTTATTAACCTATAAAGTAACATGGCTTATATATTTTTCATTTTGGTTTAGCTATGTATTTAACTCGGTTACTACGTTTTCTATAGGCAGTCATTAAATAAGTGGTAGAATTAATTAATCATTTTATTAATATAACAATATTATTAGATACAAAAAAAATTATTATGAAGTACACAATTATCTTAAACACAGTAATACAATTTTTCATATAAAAATCAGTTGTCCAAACTGCATTCAAAATAGATTAGTGGTCTCGGTTTAATATCTCTTCTTAACATTTCAATAATTGGTAATTTTCTTCCTCATTCTTGACAACTACCGCTAATGGCTGAAATACAATGGTTATCTGTTAAAATTATAAATAGGGAGATGTGGTAGGTCACTGTACTGACACAATAATATTGCGTAGCAATTGAATTATTGTAAAGTAAGGAAAATAATAAAAAAACTTGCATAAAACACACAAAAACTTATATATGGGATATCTTTGTATTTCTAAGTAAAGTATCTTAAAAACATGTTTGATAATATTATAACTAAGCCAAATATTATTAAAAGTTTTATGGTAACAAGGCTTAGTAATTTCGCACACAGTATTTGATTCAGTACTATGAATAAAAAAAATCTTGAGCACACCTATATTTAGACTCAAAAATCCAAATCCAAGTATGTACTTTAAAAACAATTATTTATTAATGAAACACATCCAAGACCCATAAAGGGTATGTTTAGTGCTAAAGTGTAGTCAGCAGCAATAACTATCTTTTGACTGCTTCTATGTTTATTAAATAAGTTATGGCAATGTCATTTCCAACATTTAAAATTAACGTTGATCACTTGAAATGGTATGAATTTGAGCAATTGAAAGCTTATATATTTGATCCAACATACCTAACATGATTATTTATACTTGTATTCTGAAATCTGAACAATTAAATTAAATTCAACTTGATCAGTTAAAATTAATACTTCTCATATAGGAAACCTAAAATTTTTTTTTTAATTGACATTTTTAACCAACAATTTCATTATTCTTTACAATGTCGCTTCAATTTAACCTATTACATTTGACTTCAAATTTGCCAACAAACAAACTTTGTTAACTGTTTTTCTAGACACTACTTATTCCTATTTATTTACTATTGTAATGAATTTGTGATTACTTATTATTATTTTACAAATTTATTATTCAAATCACGTTTATTTTTAATTAATGCCATTGTCATTATATTAAATGAATAACGTCAAGTCAAATTAGTGTAAAACCGTTAATAGGAATGGTTAATTTCGAAATGACTATTCAATGGTCGATAATAATAATGACTCCATAGTCATTATTATTATTAAACGTTATTTATCATAATTTTAAATATTAAATCAATGACTATAAATATTAAAGTAATCTTTGACACTCGTTCCTATGACTGTCGTTCGACTCTGTGGTCGATTCGGGTTCGGTCGTGGAACGAGTACACGAAATGTCACGAAACTGGAATTACAAATGCTGGTTGCTTAAATACAGGAACTGGTTGGTGTGGCCCTCAGTTCGATTGAGCGGTCTAACTAAGCAGAAGCCTTTAAACAGTAGACTCTCAATGTCGATATTAAATGGCTGATGCCAACAAACCAATCTATGACAATAAGGAGAAGTATTTGTATAATATAAATAGTCGAATATTGAGGATTCATAACAAATCAGAAGTGCGATAAGGACCCAATCTAAGGTGCGTACAAGTGTTTTATACGATTATTAATGTTATTGCTATAAATAAATAGAAATCGAACGCCCCACGTTTTCTTTGGCTACTAGAAGTTATGTACGCCTATAGAGCCAAGTGTGCTTTACATACTGAAAGGCTATGTATGCCTAACGAGCCATGTGTACGTAGTAGGTTATGTGTGCCTACAATAGGAAGCCAAGCGTGCTTCAGCTACTAGAGGCTATGTATGCCTATCGAGCCATGTGCGCTTAATGGGTGATGTGTGCCTATTAGCCATGTGTGTTTAGTAGGTTATGTGTGCCTACATTAGGAAGCCAAGTGTGCTTCAGCTGCTAGAAAGGCTAGCAGGCTCCAAAAGATAAACCACTCCTTATATGGAAATTGTATTCGTTTTTACAACAAGCTCCCAAGCGAAATTAGAGAATTATCACTAAATAAATTCAAAGCCCTCGTTAAACGAAAATTAATCAACAAAGCTTTTTATAAATTTGAGGACTACTTAAATGATCCTAATCCTTGGGATTGAATTGCTCCAGTTCAAACAATTTGTATGACAATACTTGGCGATTAAAAAGAGTGGCGGAAAGTTTCTTGCCAGTTCTTCTTACCCGCTCTACGCCCTTGACTTGCGAACTGGTAGTAAATGTAAATTTACGATTAATTTAACTTGACGATTCAAAAGTGTACTTGGTTACCTACTTGAATAAAGATATTTTGAGTTTGAGTTTGAGTTTGACTAGAGGCTATGTATGCCTACTGAGCCATGTGTGCTTGGTCGTTAGAGGGTTATGTGTGCCCACAATAGGAAGCCAAGTGTGCTTCAGCTACTAGAGGCTATGTATGCCTACCGAGCCATGTGTGCTTGGTCGTTAGAGGGTTATGTGTGCCCACAATAGGAAGCCAAGTGTGCTTCAGCTACCAGAGGCTATGTATGCCTATCATGAGTCATGTGAGTATCCTAGAGGTCATGTGTACCTAGAAAAAACGAACATTAAGAGTTACTCATTTTTTGTTATTAAAGTGAACCATTGTAATATTCATATAATCATAAATAAATATTCATGGATTTATTTATTGAACAATATTGTGTTAATATGAAAATTCTTTAGTAATACAGGTACAAGGAAAATGTATAATACATAATTTGTAAAGAGTAATTTACAGACACAAGGAAGTAGCTTTTACCAGTAAGCCTTTTTTTTAAGGAAGACTTTAAAATTATATATTTCCATCAAGTAAGTATTATGAGAAGTCAATTATAACCATTGGGGTTTACCTGTGCAGTAAGTTACAAACTATGCAATTTTAAACTCCTATCTACCATAAGACAAATTATTGTAGCAGTGTAAAGGTA